GACACCAAGCTGCCTCTTGTCGGTGGCCACGAGGGTGCTGGTGTTGTCGTTGCCCGCGGCGACCTTGTCAAGGATGTCAAGATTGGCGAGAAGGTCGGCATCAAGTGGCTCAACGGCTCTTGCCTGAGCTGCTCTTACTGCCAGAACGCCGATGAGTCTCTCTGCGCTGAGGCTCTCCTCTCCGGTTACACCGTCGACGGATCTTTCCAGCAGTATGCCATTGCCAAGGCTATCCACGTTGCTCGCATTCCTGAGGAGTGTGACCTCGAGTCCATCTCCCCCATTCTCTGCGCCGGTATTACCGTCTACAAGGGTCTCAAGGAGTCCGGTGTCAAGGCCGGTCAATCCATTGCCATCGTCGGTGCTGGTGGTGGTCTCGGTTCCATCGCTGTCCAGTACTGCAAGGCCATGGGTATCCACGCCATTGCCATCGATGGTGGTGAGGAGAAGGGAAAGCTCACCAAGGAGCTCGGAGCTACTGCCTATGTCGACTTCACCACAACCAAGAACCTTGTCGCCGATGTCAAGGCTACCACCTCCGATGGTCTCGGACCTCACGCCGCTCTCCTCGTTGCTACCAACGAGAAGCCCTTCCAACAGGCTACCCAGTACATCCGCTCTCGCGGTACTGTCGTCTGCATCGGTCTCCCCGCTAATGCTCAGTTCTCTGCTCCCGTTTTCGACACAGTTGTTCGCATGATCTCCATCAAGGGATCTTACGTCGGCAACCGTGCTGATACCGCTGAGGCCATTGACTTCTTCCGCCGTGGTCTCATCAAGGTCCCCTTCAAGACTGTTGGTCTCTCTGAGCTCAACGAGGTCTACAAGCTCATGAAGGCTGGCCAAATTGTCGGTCGCTACGTCGTCGACACCAGCCGATAAGCGCGCGGCTGTCGCTTGGGCAGTGCGCCAAAAAGTAAGAGCACGCCCCTAAAAAGATAAGCAGGGCTACCCATCGCGCAAAGGGGTTTACCCTCTAAAGAGGAGTTCAGGCGGGAGTTGATTTGGGTTTTCTGGCGGGTGTTGTCGAAGTAGCCAGATGGCTGATCTTGGTTACACTTTGTGTATAGCCCTAGTTTATGAGTTTTATGATTTCCCTTAGCATCAAATAACAGAACGAACATTTCGATCAACAAGATTTCCAAGTGACATATCTCACACTGCACATTGATATGAATAATACATCGCTCTATCTGAGAAGAAATGCTTCGAATTTAGTTGGCTTTTCGAAAAGCACGCTTAATACTCCTGTAGAGTTCTAGCTGGTATTATGATCGAATCTCACTTAGTCGTCATGTATCACAACAGATGGACTTGCATGGACAGCTGATTTCGAACATGTTTAACCAGCTTGCAGCTGGACTGTCGTATTGATAACAACAGACACTTCCACGGAGACATTTCCTAGAGGAGGACAGAAAACTAAGATCTTGATCTAAAATGATATAAAAATTTAGGTAAATTTAGGTAAATTTAGGATATCTTCTTTCGACTTTATTTTAATACTATATATCAAGGTCCGTTATTTTCTTGCTCCCTGAGGATTCCCACGGAGTTCATCCAAACGCCCAATGGCCAAGTAGTCTCATTGTGACTAACACCGTATCTTCTACCAGGAGACGGGATAATATCATGTATGAAAATATCACCATGACGGGGGTTGATTTACCCCTCCACCCACTACGAATCTGATGCAACCCTCTCTGCAAGAACCCCTGCCAGCCACCAAGCCACTTCTAGAACATCATTCAACGCCCAGAAACAAAAGAAAATCAGACCACTGCTTATGAAGGGCATCTAGAGCATCTAAGCGTATCTTTTACGAACTGCTCGTTTTCTTGGCTGCAGAAGTTCTTGTCTGGAACGTCAATGGCAGGGAATAATTGGATATGTGAGTTATGATATGAGAGACTGGTAACGGAGAACGCCTATATTAAACTTCCCGGCGTGCCGAAGTTCAACGCATCATGCATTCAACGATTAGACTCCAACGTTCCTTGCTACGTAGTAGAGCGGGGAAAAGAGACTTGTTTTTGGAATATGATTTTTAAACACGACTAATGTAACTCTTCAACACGTGCTACCGTCTGGTCTCGTCTCTTCTCGTCTTGCCATCTCTTGTCTCCCACTTGTAGTTGCATCGCTTTAGGCATAATTGTCAATTGAGGATTTTTGCGCCCTGAGCGCCTCTTCATTGCACTCTACAGCAGACGCCCACTATTGTCTTCTGCGTGCTCCAAGAATATATCTTTCTAGGAAGCTTGCTGTTGACCCGGGGAGTCAATTGAAGAGTGATTCTTGATCGTCTATATCGTAAATCAAGAGCCACCGGGTCCACCAAGCAGAGCGAATCTTCGCACAATGCTGGGTCCATATTCTTGGTACTGTGATGTTGTTAGTCATGGTCATTGTACAAAATACAATTCGTCTTACCTCGGCCTTGGTATGGCAGTATGATCGGAACTCGGGGGTTTGACCAAGGAGACTGCCTCCGAACCAAGGACCGTGTCGCTGTCGCTTATGAGTGATAACGGACACGTCCAGACCACCACTACGAGCACCACCACTGCGGACCTCGCTGGCTCGAATCCTGGCATCTACCAGCTGCTTGATGTCTCGCTGTAATCGACGACCGAAATCCTTGTACAATGTGCTTCCACCAGAAAGAACAATGTTCTTGTAAAGACCTCGTCGGACATCGATAGGCGATTGCTGAATGACACCGTCGACAACCACGGGCAGAGGAGTCAAGAAGTCGGAGCTGTAAATCTCGGGGTTGAAGAAGATCTCGGGGGCAAGGAAGCGCTCGTAACCGACATCAACGGAAACCTGTCGGCCATTGGGGTGTGAAACAACGTGCTGAGCGAATCGAGTGCGATCCCGGTCGTACTTGCTGAATTCCTTGACGATATCGGGGCACACGTAGCAGTACTCCTCCTTAATCTCCTGAGCCGTCTTGAGCGAAGAATCGGGCTCGCCTCGGTCCCGCAGAAGGGACTGAACGAAGTAGGTGATATCTCGACCAGCAATGGGAATTGACTTGATAGAAGATCCAATGACATAACCCTCAGCAACAGGAATGACGTGGGTGACACCATCACCAGAATCAATGACCGTACCAGTCAATGAACGATCCTGGACCTTTGAAGACGTCCAAGAAGCAGCCAGAGCAAGAACGGCCTGGACGGCAATGTACATTCCAGCGCAGTTAAAGGACTCGAAGAAGATCTCGGCGGTATTCTCACGGTTCTCGGGCGGGTTCAGGGGCTATGTGTATTAGTTTGATGTTTGACGTCGTATAGGGCGCATAATGCTCACGGGCTCGGTAAGGAGGAAGTAGTGGTCTTCAGGCTCGACTCGCAGATACTTGAAGATAGAGTTGGACCAGAATCGTTCCATGTGGTCCTAAAGGCGGTCAATTATAGGTCATGTCGGATTCGTCGGCAAGCATACCCAATTCTCTATTTGACCGTGCCGGATAGGATAATGAAGACCGTATCCTAAGCTTGTCAGCTGAATTCATGAATTCTAGCTCATATGGCTGCCTACCAGGACCTCCAGAAGCTGCTATCGCCTCATCACCAATAAAGAAGTCGAGATCCTCGGTACCTCGCTTTCCGCTCAGATGGCCTCCAGCTCCAGCACCTCCCGTAAGAAAAGATGGCTTGTTCGCAACAGCCGGTCGTCCAGAACCAGAGCCACCAGCTCCGCCAGTTGGCCCCTTTGTCGCAATCGCGGTCGGGAAGACGAATGAGGGAGAGTCGTTACCGGCGAAACCTAGATTGGAGCATCAGCATGAAGCTCAAGGCTACATAATAGCCTCAGGAGAGTGTTTCGTCGTTACAGACCTAGCTTGGAGAAACCCGTGCCGCTGTGAGCTGAGATTAGCTGTCGTCGTCAGTGCGGGGGGCTGGGATAAGTGAGACGTACTTGTCCATGACAACGGCGGGAGTTTGGTTAGCCATGATGGGCGAGAGTGCGTGGTGAAGCGCACAGCTGCAAGAGAGAAGATGGACAAGAGGTGGACGCAAATGCCGCGTGTGAGGAATTGCAATGTGCGGCGATGATGGTAGTCGTTGGGCGAGGATTACGTTACGTGCCTTGTAAAGCTCCCAGCTCGGATGGAGGTGAGGCTTGAACTGCGGCTGTGCTGTGCCCCGCCGTTGAGTGGGACGTGTCACTGAATGGCTGAAGATGTGGGCCTGGTTGTTGCGATAACCGGGGTCAAGGTCTGAGTGACAAAATTATAGACACAATTGACAAGTTTTAACAAAAAGGATTATATGTTCAAGTATGACAAACCAATTGTAAATAGTATCTAGCAATGCAATGTCTGTCTATCGGTTCACTCAAGTAAATTCGAGCTTCGTAGGCTTCCAAAGTGCATGCTTTGACTTGGTCTCTGTCTCAGGTTGAAGTTTGGATGTCTCAAGTGAGTTGTAATTATAGTCGACGTGCGACGTCATTTCTAGGCCTCTTCAGCAGGCAACTGTATTTCTTCAATGTCTCTGCCTTATCGAACGCTCGTCTTGAGGTTTGTGAGGTTTCTTGAATGTAAGGTCTTGTCATAGATCTAAAGATCAGATATGTCTCTTTGATGGTTAAACTCGAAACAATTATATGTGTCCAAAAACGAGGTGTCGATTGGAGATCGGAGATTGTATAAGGTAGTTTTGTTTTCCACCTGACGATTGCTGCTTCTTGTCTAACACAACGAGTCTATTAAGCAAGGAGTGACTGATCAAACCCGACCCTACAGCTCCTCTAGCTCTTTCCCTATCTATAGAGTGTTTTGCTTTTCCTTCAAAGCTCGGGTCGGCCCAAAACTGCATCATTGTTCAACCTTCAACCTTTTTTCCCTAAGCATTGAATCTCTATCAACATCACTTCCCGGGTCCTCGACGCCCGCCTTTCGTTTCTTTTCCTCTCTCACAATCATCAACATCATCTCGATAATCTCGTAACAATAGACCCTCGCTAGCTCATGACTTCTCTCGAAGATGTCAGACAGTCTCGATGATGATCCCCCTATTAGCTCAGGATCCACCCCTCATGGAACGGATGGCGCTTTCGATCGGGTAATGAAAGTGGCACAGAGAACCAAAACAGTGCCTGCTATCTTTGTTCACGCCGGGGCTGGGTTTCACAGTCATCAAAATGAGCACATACATCTTCAGGCCTGTGTTGCGTGAGATATTCCCCAGTGGCCCCTGGACCCCTGGGTTTTGCTAACATCAATAAGTGCGGTTGAGATGGGCATGAGGTTCCTCAGAGCCGGTGCCAGCGCAACTGAGGCCGTCGAAGCAGCCCTCCGGATCCTCGAGGATAAAGAAGTTACCAACGCTGGGTACGGCTCTAATCTTTCTATTGATGGTGTTGTGGAATGCGATGCCACCGTAGTGGACCATCTTGGCCGCAGCGGCGCCTGTGGTGCTGTTCCTAGTAAGTTCCTACTACCCAGAGCAAATTCGCCTGCTGACATTGCCAAAGATATTCGAAACCCGATATCCCTGGCCAAACTCGTTCTAGATATGAGCAATAAACCATTGAGCCTGAGGCGAGTTGCACCAAACGCTCTTGTTGGAGAGGGCGCCAGGGCTTTCGCAGAGGAGCATGGTCTGATGATATACCCCAATGAGTATATGGTTTCGAAGAATGCTAGAGACCGCTTTCTGCGCTGGCAGGAAGACTTGAAGCGAGCTGAGTCGAAGGGTCAAGAGTCCAAAGCTTTGTCTGAAACTGTTGATACAACAGCAACATGTCCCCCGTGCCAGTACGATACAGCGTCGCCGACAAAGCCACGTTCATCACTTCCGCGTGATCAACGGCCTGCGGTTCTTGTCGGTACTTGGAACGAGGGACAGCCTGACTCTCCTTTCACTGGTACACCGATCCAAGATGTGGCGTCGCCAGATCAATTGACAAGCACAAGCTACTTCAGAGCCACAGGCACCTCTCCCCCAACAGTCGGCCGTACTTCGTTTACCCGGAGTCCTCAGGAGGGAGCGACACAGACGTATGCTGGTGTTGTGAGTGGTGCCCAGGATGTATTGTCCTCCCCATTTCGACCTAGTCTATCTCGAAAATCCAATTCTTTAGCTGAGGATTTTAAACCTGTCTTGCCTGAGAATGCATCAATCCGCCACAAGCACCATGCACACGCCTCAAACAAGGTCGATAATACATCACCACGAACTCCTACTGGGAATAGGGGCAACGGCCTTGATCGCCAAAGCTCCTCAGGTCCTCGTGGGGCTAAGCGACCTCTCAGTCCTGATGAAAAATCGCAGCCTCATTCAAGAGCTGTACACGACCGCCTTCATTACGGGTCTGTTAGCGAGGACGTCATTACAGACACTATTGGTGCCATTGCGATCGATGATCGAGGCCAAATTGCTGCTGGCTCATCTTCAGGTGGTATCGGAATGAAGCATCGAGGCCGTTTAGGACCAGCTGCTCTTGTGGGAGTTGGCACGGCCGTTGTGCCCTGTGACGATGAGGATGACGATGAGGTTGCTGTCGCTGCAGTCACAAGTGGCACAGGAGAGCATATGGCTACTACCATGGCCTCCCAGCGATGTGCGGAGAGGATTTACCATGGCACAAGACGTGGAAAAGGAGGCGCCAACATTCAGGACGACGATGAAGATGCCATCATGGAGTCTTTCATTGCTGAGGACTTCATGAAGCATCCCGGTGTCAAGAATTGCCATTCAGCAGGTGCCATTGGTGTCATGGTGGTCAAGAAGACGCCTTCAGGCTACTATTTCTACTTTGCTCACAACACAGATTCCTTTGCCCTCGCTTCGATGGGAGGTTCGGAAAGACAGCCCGTCTGTACGATGTCTAGACTTTCTCATGGCGCCAAGATCGCCAAGGGTGGACGTAAAGTCAGATGCACCATTGTACAAAAATAGCAAAGGGTTGGCGATGCTGATGTGAACTGAGCTCCTGCTCGAGTTGTTGAGTGGTTGTGCTATCCGCACCTAGAAGTGCAGTGATCGATTAGAATACACTTATGCATTAGATTCAAGTGATAGCCTTTGGAGCATAGCCCTACGCCCGCTGTTTAGTCTGATCACTTTAATATTGATATCCCCAGACTTTAAACTCCAGAGAAGTATGCGTTGACTGTAGCATTATCTGATACCTGGCTAATTCCCTTAACGCCGTGAGACTATATGTACATTGGTCATCAAGGGTATATCCCGTTCTTCGCCCCCGTTCCTCAAGCGATTTGCTGGCTCATTCATGGACGGGGTGTCCCTGTCGCACTCCCTGTCTCTTCCCGTGATCCGCCTCCATTGACGATCTTGCGCTTCTTTTTCTTCTTCCTTGGTACGACGGCGGGTTTCGCGCCATAGTTACCCAGAGATAGTTTGGTGCCACACGTGAAACATTCCGAGTTCTCTGGCGTCTCACAGAAGATGCTCAGACAGATGGAGCAGACGAAGCCTGTATCCACAACTCGGCCGTGGCAAAAACAGGCGGCGCGGAAATCGACGGTGTCGTGTGTTGGGGCGATGAGAGCTTCACGAGCTTCTGTGTCTGCGATAAGACCGAACATCAGATAGTTGAGTAGTCCTTGGGGATGTGTAGCAGCGAGGTATGTGCCACCGGTGTTGTAGCAAGCCTGTTGCAGGAAAGTTGGCTCGCCAGTAAGAGAGAGAGTATCGATGGCGACTTGATTGTGGCCAGCGGCGAAGACAGCGTTCATGGTGGGAATGTATTGCGAGGGTTCTGAATCGGAGACAGAAATGACCAGGATTCGGCCGCGAACAGTTGAGGGAGCAGTATTCGACGAGCCTTTGTGGCTGTCCTCGAGATTAGCCGTAGGCGCACAAAGAGCCTGCGCAGCTTTATTGATATGACATAGCGCCAGCGTCAAGGCTCCAGAGATTTGTGTCGTCGTAGCAGAGAGATCCTCCTCCTTTGTCTGATCCATGAGTTGTCGAATCGCAGCCAAAACAGCAGCTTCAATCTGTGCGAACTGCGGGAACTTGTTCGCTGAGGTTTGTGTTTGCGCAGCAGCAGCATCGTTCATGGCAACATCGCCAGAGGCGTCGCGTGAGGGTGTGGGAGGTGTTGGGTAGAGCCATTCTGCGCGATCAACGTGCGCGGCGATAAGCGCAACCTGGTTTGCGTTGCTGAAGGCGAGATGGGCGTTAACGAAGACGAGGATGTTTGCGATAGCACGCGATAGGGGAAGGACATTATTGAGCGATGCCCAGGCTCGGGGGTTTGTATCGAGGACGATGGTAAGAAGCGAGGGAGTCTCTTCGCGGGTGCCGACCTCGTAGTGCTCTGAAACATCGACGGCGTCCATTGTGAGGATGTTGACGCTGCGAAGATGCTGGTGGGGAGGCGGCTACGAGGCCCTAAGAGTGGTTGAGCTGCCTTGGTGGCCTTACGTGAGGACTGAGGCTACAATACCTGAGGCTGTCGCAAAGTTGTCGGATTCAAGACAAACCTAAGCTGAATTAAAGAAGATGGACGGGTACGAGTGTTGCATTTATCGCATGATTAGTTGATAGCCAAAAACGCCAAAATAACAACAACAATTAACGCCAAACTCAACTGCAGCAATTACTAAAAGAGCCTTGTTTGTTTCTTTTCTTTAGATACTTTGTTCTTGGACGCGGCTACCATAGATGGAAGGGAAAATCTGATCCAATTGTTGGTTAGACGTCATCTACAGGCATAATCCAATGGAATGGATAAAGGTATGAGCGCGGCTGCTGGCACCAATAGGCCCCTACAGCAAACCCCCTAGCTCAGCTCTTCAAACGCCTGGCCACGTGATGACCAACTAAAACGCATCAAGCGTCAGTGATCTTTGATCTAACGTTTAGTGGCTCAAGCCCAAGCCCAGTCTCACGAGCTCTTTTGTGGTAGGTTGAGGTTGTGGTGGTGGAGGCCGTGACGGGTCTTCTTGCCTTGTGCGCTTTACGATTTACATCACAAGTTCTAGTTTCGGTCTCTTCTCACTTTTATTTCCTTGACTACTAAACTAGCACCTTGAAAGCAAAACAAGAACTGGCTTCTTATTTACTTTCTCTCTCACCTACCTACACATTCAATCAATAAATATTCCATGGCAGAACCTACAGAAGCTGCTTCTCAGGTGCCTCCAGCCCAGTCGCTGGAGGACCAGACTCTTATCGTCTTTGCGCGCCTCATGGAGGGCGGACAGGAAGATAACGAGACATGTCGCGACCTCGATGAACTGACTAAGCTGCTCAACGACGACTACGAAGCCCGTCAGAAGGACAAGTCTCGTGAGACTATTTGCAATGTTATCGATGGCGACTGTGTCGACACCGTTTTGTGCTATCTTGATATGAGACAGCCTGAGATAGTACGCGGCCACGCCACTCTCTCAACATCCGCATATCTCAAAGCCGCTGGCGATGATGGTTCAAAGAAGCTCTCGACTTTCTTCTTTGACCGTGTGCGAAGGGGAACTTATGACGATTACATTGTTGCCTTTTGTGTCGCCGCTGCGACATTTCCCATCGTCCCCGATCTCACTGCCCAGCTGTTTCTCAACGAAGACTTCCTACCCAGCCTCGGCACACTTATGCGACGAAAATGGAAGAGCCGCAAGGTCGAGACGGCCTGCTTGGAGATGCTCAACGCTGCTTGCATGAACTCACTTTGCCGTGAGGCTATCAACAAGTATTGCATCGAGTGGCTTGAGGAGATCGTCGACCAAGACCTTAGTGAGGCTGTTCGTAGCATGAACGCAGATCCAAACCTTCAAAGTGATGGAGGCTCCATTTCAATGAGGCGGCACTCTGAACAGGTCCAGTATCTTGCCGCAGTCATCCTGGCCAAGCTGAGGGTGAGATAAGGTGCCTATGAGCTCTGTATTATCACTGACTGACCCAGCTTTCAAGGCAGTTCCCGCTAAACCAGCACCCGGTGATAACAAGTCTCGAATCGAGCCTGCAGTCACTAGTATCGAAGATCTCTCTGGAATGTTCACTAAGATGATACTGAGAGATGAAGATCACGGACGAAAGCACTCTATCGAAGGTCTCGCATACGCCTCCCTTCAACCTAAAGTCAAGGAGTCTATTGTCAGCAACCCCGAGTTGCTCCAGAAGTTGGTCAAGACTCTTCAAGAAGCCCAGCCAAGATCGCCAACTACTTATGGAGCTTTAAGCATTTTTGTCAATCTGACCAAATACCTGCCCACGCTGACAGAGGAAGAAAAGAAGATGAACCAGCTCAAGGCATATGCCAATGCTGCCGGGAAGCTTGGCGGGCCCGACCCCCTTAATGACGACGAGCATGTCGCAAAGCGATGCAAGCTGGTGTTTGATGCAGGTATCACACCGGTTCTCGTCACCCACAGTAAGAATGGTTCGCCCGCTTCTCTAGGACTTGTTATCTCCATTATTTTCTCCCTTTCAGTCGACAGGACTCTCCGCGGTCAACTCGCTCAGCAAGGAGCGGTCAAGCTTCTCCTGGTATCATGGATGTCCCTGCCTCAAACTGAAGCTGCTTCACGTCGTCTTGCAGCACAAGCCCTGGCCCGCATCTTGATCAGCACAAACCCTGCACTGGTCTTTGGTGGCAACCGTGACACCCCCATCATTGCTGCCGTCAGACCGCTTGTCTCTATCATCCCACCCGACCCTGCTGCTCAGACACGGGACCTCCTCCCTTCCTTCGAGGCACTTATGGCCTTGACCAACCTCGCGTCCATGGATGACGATGCGACTAGACGCAGTATCATCAATACAGCATGGAACCAGATTGAGGAACAGATGCTGGCTTCCAACACTCTTGTCTCCAAGGCTGCTGTTGAGCTTGTTTGCAATCTGGTGCAGCAACCAGAGGCTATCGCACTCTATGCTGAAGAGACTGCCAAGGCCCGCAATCGCCTGAACGTCCTCCTCGCCCTTGCTGATGCACCTGATGATGGAACTCGAAGTGCAGCTGGCGGTGCTTTAGCTTCACTCACCAACTTTGAGGGTGTCATCCGGGGCATTATTAACCGAGATCGCGGTGTGAAAGTTATCCTCGGAATGTGTGTCGATGACAGCGAGGACATCCGTCATCGTGGAGTGTTTGTGGTAAACAACTTGGTCACTGCAGAGGGCGAGGTCGGTGAACTCGCGCGAGAGAAGGTCAAGAGCGAGGGTGGAGTTGAAACTCTTACAGAATGTGTTAAGAAGAGTCGAAGCCCTGGCGTTGTCGAGCTGGGAGTTCAAGCTTTAAAGGCTCTGTTAGGGGATCAATCATGAATGAAGAATGACGAAGAACATATACACTGTTGTAAAGGCGGCGCAGATCAGCATTTTTTAGGTTGCGGGATGAGGCAGCGGGTTCTCAAGTTTGCAATGATTATGACTATGGCAATGGCAATGAGATCTATCATGTTTTTCTTTGACCCAAGCCGAACAAACGCCGTGTACTTTTATTTTATGCCGTGGTATCGACCCTGTTGAGAATAGCAACGCCCTCTACATGACCTGTTTGAGGAAAGAAATCAAATCCTCGAAGACTCTCAATCTCGTATCTCTCGCCCTCGCCTTCACCGCGAACGAGCACACCGACATCTCTGGCCTGTGTATGCACGTTACAGCTGACATACAGAACTCGCCGAGGACCGAATTTTCGTAGCTGGTTCAAGAAGTCTGCATCGCAGCCCTTACGAGGAGGATCAAGAACCACAACGGTCTCATCACGGTTGTAGGTAACGCTCTTGAAGAGCTCACCAGCATCGGCAGCGATGAACTTGCAGCGATCCTCCCCCATACCGTTGAGGACTGCGTTGCGACTTGCGTAGGCGATGGAGTCAGCTGCAATGTCGATACCGATGGAGTGCTGGAAGAGCGATGCGAGAGTAACGGTAAAGAGGCCAGAGCCTGAATAGGCGTCGATTAGATACTTGATGTCCATGCCT